ATTCATCCATACCTACAAAAGAACAAAGAATAATATAACTGCCCAGACCACATCCCATATATTTCGTAATGTTACCTGATTTTTTGTGGTTTATTTTACATATAATTTATTTCTGCTATGAGTATACTAAAGGCATAATGTTCTGTAGTTCTAGAGGATTTTGTGCTGGCCTCAGCACTATGGAAACAAATGTGTATTGCTGTGTGTGCCTCTCCCTTTCCCTCTCTCTCTCTTACAAATTAATATAAACTTTATTAATTGCATGCTCAGTTTTTCAATGAGTTCTTCTTTTGTTTATTTATCCTACAAAGTCCATATCATGATTAGTTCATTTGCAGCTCGGGGTTAGAATGGACAGTAGATTATGTAGTTTCTTTTGCCATAACTATTCAGAATTAAATCTAAGAAGATTTCAAAAACATGCAGACTGCACAAAAAGAAACCCTTCTCACTGAACATTTGCTCCAGGCTCTATCATATTCTAGCAGAGGACTTATCTACAGTGTTTTGAACATGGAAATCATCAACTTAGAGACTCGCACATCTTGTTGGAAACCTGGTCTTTTGGAAAGGTTAACATAATATGAATTAAATGTCAAATTCCCCTCTGCCCCATTGCTGAGCCTTCTCCTAGCAAAATACATGCAGCCCACCTTCAAGGCCCCCTGCATTACACAGTATCCATACACAAAGCTGATTCTCCTCCCACATTAGTGTAATTAGCACTGCCTTCATTAAAATTAACGGAATCCTCACTGTGTACTTCAGAGCAGCAGTGAGTACTAGGTCATGCGTAGCACTCTCTGACATACATGACATATGTCTCATCTCCTCTCCTTCCCAACAGCATCATCCTGGCACGAAATACACCTTGGGGTGCCCCAAGGCACTGACAATAATTGCTTGTGAGCAGTATTGGTGTTTGCCTGCTGCCGAGTTACTGCTTAATCCAGCATTGTTCAGCTACAGTGTTACGAGGCTTTAAAACTGAACTTATCTTGTGGTTCCCAGAAAAATTTCATTTTGAATTAAACACACAAAGTCTCTTACTCAGAAAGGCCCTTCACAGAGGTGGTGCACATGACATCCGAATTCTGCCCTGTCATTAGTGACATTGCTGAACAAGGACATTATCATAGCTAATTAACATCTAAAGTATCCACTGTCTATTAATTAATCACACTAACGCAAGAGGAGAATCAGCTCTGTGTATGCATACAGTGTAATCCAGAGGTCCTTGAAGGTGGATTGCATGTACTTTGCCAGGGGGAAGACTCAGAAATGGGGCAGAGGAGCATTTGATGTAGTAGTGGATTTCTAATTGCTAACTACCTTTGATGTCTTTTTTACCATTTGTTCATCTGTTTAAATTTCAAATAGTGTAATACAGCTTCTTACCATTGGTAATGGTTTAGATAGGATGCCACATGGGACCATGGCATCACATGGGAGGCCCCTAGTTAATCTGGAAAAAAATGGGGGTTACTAGAACTGTCAAAAAGTCAAGAAGGCAAAACTGCTGCATACAGACTGTAGAAGTGAAGCAGTAGTGTGGAAGAAGATACCTTGCATTGAATCTTGGTAACATTTTGTTTGCTTAGTGCAAAAATAAATAAATTAGATAAAATTTCACTTTAGCTTAGGTAGGCATTGAGTTATAATTATGCATATATTTGCATGCTTTATTCAGAAGCTATTTTACCTCGGTCTACTCACTTTTCCAAAGACAGAAATCGAAATTCTTTCCCACTATCCTCTATTTCTTCCATTATATTCAATTTCTCATATGTGATTTTGTGTCTAGTTAAAGATGACAGCAAGTCTGGTGGCTGAATCAGATGAATTAAATTAAAATCTGAAAAACAGCAAAATAGAAGGGTGAAGGTTGATCGTTATCCCCACACAACACTGTATATTCCACACCAAACACAAGAAATTGTATCTATTATGCTGATGCGATAGCAGCTGAAGATAATCTCACAGAAAAGTGAGCCCAGGAGCAGGTGATGGGGACTCAGGAGGCCATACTGAACAACAGCTATTTGTTGTTACAGCAAGCAAAACAACAAAATCTCTTGAAATAATCCTCTCTCAGGAATGAGGCCATAAAATACACACGCAGCTTCAGAGCAATCTCCCAGTTTGTCAGATGAAGGGAAAAGCTGTATAATTCTAACTATAGGAATGAAATACACTACCTTATATACCCATAGTGCTGTGAAGCAACCCTGATCAGTGCGTTACAGCAAACACATTCCTGACATTTTGGAATAAAACTGATAGATGGTGTACTGCCCAAACACAGACTACATTTAACTATCGTTTCTTTTACTACCCAGTAGAGTATTTTAGATTCTAAGAAAATACTAGCTAGAAAAAGAAGAGCTAAATGTGTAAAAAAGCAGGTGCTATACAGTTCTGTTTTCCTGCTACAGGGTGATAAAAAGAAAAGGAACTTGGGGCTGTCTCACCCTTTCTACCTGCGGGTGTAGTGACAGCGCTAAAAGGGCGAGGGCAGAGACAGAACTTAGTCAAACGTACAGAAATGTGTGTGCTAGGCACACGAGTGAATCAAACAAAATCCATGAACAGCTGGGGTGTCCTACCTGTAGTACCTCCATCCTTATAACATCTGCCTCTCCCATTATCCTGTATTTCCACCTACCATAATCCCTGCTTACTACTTTATCCCTTAATCTGCACACTTTCACTTGCCAGTATCCAAACCACGTGTTGTTTGTATCAGAAATCATTCTTCATCCTTTATTTCCAAAGCAGAAAATTATCCCTAAGCTTACTAATTTTCCTCTCCCCTCACTCCGTTCTTCCCTGAGCAGCAGTCTACATCATGACCTCCGCCACGTTGTCACAGGAGACTCCAGGGACCCTAAAACAAGACCAGGTTCCCACACGTGAGCCAAACTGCTTTGTAAAAACTCTTATCCCATGGTACCAGTGTGGAAGTCTGCACAAGAGAACACAAAATGGACTCTGTACACGAACCACTCGGGAGGGCAAACGGCTGGTGGCAGAGAAGCAAGCCGCACCTCTCAGCTGCCCAGCCATTCTCCATAGCAGTAGCACAATGACGGTGACCAAACACAATGTCTCAGGGGTGTTACGGAGTGTTAAAGGGTTAATGTTGCTTGGGGTTTCTTTAAGAAAGGATTTCATACCATACTTTGCTAGGGTTGAGTGCATCCTTACCAACCAGAAAACATTAAAATTATTTAACTCACAGTTTGATTGTTACCTACTTCATCTTACATCATTACTTAGTTTATTCAGCGAATACGCTTTATTCATTCAGAAGTGTTACCTACTTCATCTTACATCATTACTTACAGTTTATTCAGCGAATACGCTTTATTCATTCAGAGACCCCTGTAAAGAAGAAAATCCAACACATCCAATTGATACACTTTTCCCTCAAGATTATTACAAGAAAAAACTTTTAATTTACCAGGTACAATAATAGCTTAGTCTGACTTAAAGTCTTTGTACTCTAATGCTAAAACACCTCCTGTACTGTAAAATCCTGCTCTTTTTAAGCTCATTCTGGGAGCAGAGATCCTATAGAAACAAAAAAATCCTAAGGGCTCACTGGGGAAGATGAACCTTCAGTTTAGAATAGATTTGCCTTGTGCCTTATTAGGTGTTTTGACTGAAACTTTTCCTGAGATACACAAAGTTTTTGCTCATGTGCAGGCTGTTTATCTAAGAAATTCTGTGAAATCTACTTTGCTTCAAACCTTCTGGGCTCACAAGTTGGGGGTGGTGGTGGATACAAAGTCACGCAGATGCTCAGCTGATTCTGCTTTGAGCAGGAGGTCGGACCAGACGATCTCCTGAGGTCCTTTCCAACCCGAATTTTCCTGTGATCCTATTATAAGGTGATAGGATGTTTCTTTTGCAATCCAAACAGCTCTACATGCGCATGGTGGGGAGAGAGTTGGAGACACTGCATGTAGTTTGCTTAGGGGTTTTATATTAGAGAACCAAAAAGGCAAACAACAAAACAGCCCATGGATAGAAGCGGACACGCACAGTCCTACGCTGAGCTCTGAGAAAGAACGCCAGGCACCTGAAGAGAAAGTTAACCGAGTAGTTCTGAGCCGTGGAGCAGGATGGTTTCGTTCGGCTTTCTTTTTGTGGGGGAAAAAATCCTGCTGCCTGGTGAGCCCCCCGAGGGCAGAAAGCTCCGCCGCTGCCCCAGGCCCCCTCCGCGCCTCCTCCCGAGGCGACGATCGCCCCGCAAGTCTCCAGCACCCAGCGCCGCGGGCGG